ATATATATATATATATATATATATATATATATATATATATATATAGAACTTGCTAGTCACATGCACATCCTTCGTTTTAATATCAAGTTAGACTATATATGTTACTTAAATCCCATATATTTTATTTTTGTAGGATAAATCGCATATAAATATCTAAATTTTTATAAAAATCTCAAATAAATACCTGAATTATAAAATTTTCATATAAATACTTGAACTTTTCTAAAATCCTACATAAATACCTAGACTTCTGAAAAACTCTCAAATAAACCCAAAATCCATTAATGACATCATCTATTTTTATTTGGAAAATACCTGAAATTTATATTTATTTGGAAATTTTTTTTAAAAATCTAGATATTTATATGGGATTTTCATAAAAGTTTAGGTATTTATATGTTATTTTGACTTGTTCCAATTTTGTTAAAAAAATTATATGATGTTTACATGAATCTACATCAATAGTTTTTTTTTTTAAGACAAAGTGATTTCATTTTTAAAAATTATTTTATTTGGTAACGTTTACATGATTTTTTTCGGATCTTAAATTAGACGGACCAAAAACTAGATGGGATATTTATTTTCATTTTTAAAAAAAAGAGTTCCCATCTTATAATTTCCCACGGCATAATTAAAAACCATAATAATAGTTTGTCTGTATTTAATATTTTATTTGATTTTGAAATGGAAAAGAAATTAAAGAATAGGAGGAAATGACAAAGATAGAGTTTTATTAGGTATCGCAATTTTGGGGTCACATGGCCATGTTTTCAGTGTTGCCGTCATTATAGAAACATTGGAGCGGCCGACCTTTTCCTCATTTCGGTCCCATGCCCTAATGTTTTCTTTTTCTTTTTCTTTTTTTTTTATTATTTATATATACGTGTATATATATGTACACACACATACACATGCATTCATTATGTGTACAAAGTGTATTTGCAGTACGTTAAATCGATGCAAATTGATCATGCATATGTATATATAATAATAATAATTATTTTTTAATAATTTTTATTAAAATTTCTATTATCTTATTATCATTTAATTATTTTTATTTAATTTTTATTATTTTATTATTTTGATATTTATTTTTTATTTGTCAATTGTGTCGAAACCACGTCAGTGTTGACCATTGAAAATTTGATAGCTTTTTCGAACGATCAAAAAATTGAAGAAAAATATAAAAAAATTAGTATATATTTTGTCAAAAAATAATTGTTGGTGTGAATTTAGAGACCATTAATATAAATTCCGTAATTAAATCTTTAGTTGGATAAAATTTTTTATTTTCCATATATATATATATATATATACACACACATATACATACATGCATTATATGTACAAAGTGCATTCGCAGTACGTTAAATTGATATATACATACATACATATATATATATATATATATATATATATATATATATATATATATCGG